TTATCACTTCTTCGCTAAAAAAAATTGTAAAAAGATAAAAACTTTTTTTATGATAGATCCCATACCATCTGCCAAATCTAATAGAAACTTCTCTGGTAATTAACAGAATTTGATGACAAAGTAAAAAGGAGGACCCAACCATCGGAAAATAAGCTACTTCACTAAAACCCATTAATTTGTTATGAAAAGTACATTGACAAACACTGTGTCAATTTACTTGATATCAGAGCATATGTTAGAGTTCATAACTATGAAATACATGTATGATAGATGTACAAAACATCTAACATGGGTTTGTACCCATGCATTTGATATGAGAGAACTGAGATAACAGACTATAAAATTCTGAGCTTATCAAAATATTGCCAACATTAATAAAAATAAAAATAAGGTCAAACAATAAATTTTTTATGTTAAAATGGTTGTGACAGCAATTTCATATTGAGCAACCCAATAATAAATATAGTAAAAATCTACTGAGTTCTCATGGTGGTATAGTTTTGCATATTTTATTTGTTTTATACTCTCAATAACCCTGATCTAGCACTATTTTATCATTTTACCTCTGAATATACTGAGGCTCAGAGGAGTTAAATAATATGCCATGATCACACAGCTAATAACTGATGGAGACTATACTAGAGCACAAGTAATTGACTGTGGAACCTAGAATCATTTTTTCCCCTTGGAAAATACTTTTTTTGTTGTTTAAATTCACTTAATTAACATATATTATTAGTTTCAGACATAGAGGTCAGAGATACCTCAGTGTTATATAATACCCAGTGCTCATTTTATCATGTGCTCTCCTTGATGTCCATCACCCAGTTACCCCATCCCCCCACTCCCCTCCCATCCAGCAACGCTCAGTTTGTTTCCTAATTAAGAGTCTCTTATGGGGGCACCTGGGTGGCTCAGTGGGTTAAGCCTCTGCCTTCAGCTCAGGTCATGATCTCAGGGTCCTGGGATCGAGCCCCGCATCGGGCTCTCTGCTCGGCAGGGAGCCTGCTTCTCCCATTCTCTCCGCCTGCTGCTCTGCCTACTTGGGATCCCTCTCTCTGTGTCAAATAAATAAAAATAAAATTAAAAAAATTTTTAAAAGAGTCTTTTATGGTTTGCCTCCCTTTCTGATTTCATCTGGTTTTATTTTTTTCCTCTCTTCACCTATGATCTTCTGTTTTGGTTCTTAAATTCCATACATAAGTGATATCATATGATAATTGTCTTTCTCTGATTGACTTATTTCTCTTAGCATAATACCCGCTATGGAACCTAGACCCTTAATCACAATTTTCTTCCTAGAAGTGTAGTCATTGGGATGACCTTGAGGAAATGATATCTTGCAGAAGAAGAGTGTAGTTAAATATGATGGTTCATGCACAGGGGAATATAGATATCAACTTAATATAGACTCCAAAGATTTCTAGATCTCTTTTACTGATTTCTGTGGATTTGTTTTCTTTATCAGGCCTATAAATAATGCATCCATATTGTAATACTTTCAAAAAAAATGATTTTACTCTCAGTAGCAAGAGGGATGTGGGCAATGGTCTGCTGTTAATTCTTTAATGACCTCTACTGATGATAAGGAATCTGATTCGCCAACTTCCAGGGTGTAAATATTCTTAGCATGATTATTTTCAAATTAGCTGGCTTATAAAATTCCTGAAGGTTTATAACATCTTCTTTATTTTAATAAATTAACTTTCATCGTTTACAGCATTAATCAATATGGCATTTCTTCTGTGCATGGTGTAAGGCAGGTATCTTAAACAGATGACAAATTGATTAATCCCATTTACTGAATAAACTACCTCAGATGAAAACTTAGTTACTGGGCACCTTCTGAAGTCTTTAGCACTGGCTATTGTGTTCTTACTATCTCAGAATGATCCACTCCTTATACCTGGATAACATGGAATTATTGCTTGATGGTTGTTGGTGGCCTAACATGACTTCTCTTCCTGGCTACAGTCCTCCTGTCCAGATTGTTGTGACCTTATAAAACCAAACTGTACAATAGAAATGTATCTACAATAGAAATGTATCATGAAACACACAGAATTTAGAACTTTCCAGTAGCTGCATTTTTAAAAGATAAAAAGAAATACACGAATTGCTTTTATAGCATATTTCATTTAATATACCCAAAATATTACCACAATATATAATCAACAGTTTTTTAATTGTTTGATATAGTTTTCACTCTTTTTTTATACCAAGTCTTTGATATCTAGTGTGTATATTACACTTAAAAAGCATTTCATTATGGACTAGCTAATTTTCAAGTGCTCATAGCCATAACTCTCTAGTGGCTACCACATTGGACAATGCAGCTAAAGAGAATCTCAGAATTCCCATATGGGGGTGGTGCTGATTACAAATTTTCCAATAGAGATTGCTACTTAAATAGTAGTGCCAATTTATTCACTTTCTTTTTTAAAATACCTCTTCCTTGAATTTTATTTTCCCTCTCATGTAACAGACCAATTTCAACTCATCCTTTATGGCTCTTCTCATATGTCATTCTCCTTTAGAAGCTATTTCTGGCCTTTTTCTAGTCTTCTTGTCATGACTTATTTTGGTTTCCATCTTGAATCCTATAGGATTCTATAAAACCTATAAACACACATGCTAGAATGAGAATGTGTGATTTACTACTTTGCATCCAAATGAACATTTTTAATTATTAGAAGAAACAACCAATTAAATACAATGCAGCACCAATCATAACATGAAGCTGGAACATGGATTTTAACATTTGCTAAATGACTGAAAGAACAAATAAATGATTTTACAACTTACTACAACCATAATATGCAACAGGTAATCAAATAAAAAGACTTTGTGTTACTTCATGAAGAAGCTTTAAAGCTTAACTCATCTCCTGACTATAGAAAGTGTTGACTTTTATTATGACCCAGTATGTGAGGCCATATTTTCATTTTTCTTAACCTTCATCCACCAATGATACACACACACACACACACACACACACACACATACTTTCTCTAATTTTATCATAATGAACTCCCTTTTAACATGATCATCATTTCCTCATTTCACTCAGCTGGAAGTTACAACTGTTTTCCCAGGCACCGTATTTCAGATTTGAACATATGTTAATTTTAGTTTGTGAAGACTCTTTTCTAGAAAATAAATTTTCCCTTTCCATGCTTAATAAATGGTATTCTTGAATTGTTAATGTCTTTGAAAACAAAGGATATATAATGAAAAAATAAGCATATTTTCAACCAATGGTAATTATTAGAATTGCCTTCATCTTTTTGTAAGAATAACTGAGATTAACCCAAAGCAGTCATTCCTCAGCTCTGACTAACAAATGTTCCACCTGTGAAAATGTTCAACTCTTGCAAGAACTTCCATTTCCTCTTCAGTAAAACACATTTTATCTTGGGTATAGCCTGCTGCAGGGTATACATTGATGGCAGAGCCATCTTTCTTGGAAACAGCCATTCTGTGGAGTTTCCTAGGTCCAGGGACCTCAGATTCAGACTTTGTGCAGTGACCCTTGTCATGGAGATGAGACAGAAAGTCATTTTTCACTGTCCGTGGAAACTGAGCCTGAAAAGAAATTCTATGTTATAGGATACAGGATTAGAGATCTGGAAAGTCACATGAGGAAAGGACACTGAACTCAGAACCCACAAACTGGTAGGCTCTCAAACTCAGACAGTAGACTGGGCTTTTCATCCCATTCTTCTATCTGCACTATCTATCTGAGGTGCTAGAGCTCACCGATATCCCCTAGTCCTTGCTCTTTTCCACAAAAATTGTGACACTATTGATCATACCCAAAACACAATAAATTTCTCTTCTTCCTCAACAATTACTATCATACTTTCCAGTGTTTCTTGTAACAGGCATCAGTTCATTAGAATCAAAACGCCAAAATACCTCTCTGAACTCTCTTCCCAATACTATAACCTTTACTCTCTTCCCCAGAAAGCTGCTTTATTCCTTTTATAGCACTTATCTGTCTAAATGTATCTTAATTTATTCTTTTTATTATTATTATATCTTTTAGAATGCAAGCACTCTTAGAGCAAGACAGTGGTCTACAATTCTGCTATGGTATCTTCAGTGTGTAGGACAGTTCCCTTACAAAAACATTCAAAACTATTTGTCAAACAAATGGCTTAAATCAATTTCTTCAAACTCAGTGTATGCAAACAAATATACATATACTTCCAGCCAAATGCACATGATACGATATGACATTTTTCCTCTAGCTTATCGTTCCCTTAGTTGTTCATGTGTCACCTGAGTCTGCTTCTAATTTCTCATTAATCCTGGAAACTCTCTCTCCCATGCCATTTATCCATCCATTCAGCTCTCAGACCACACCTCATCTCCCTTGGGCTTCGTCACAACCTCCTGAATAGGTGTCCTCCCTCCTCCTCTTTCCCCTCCAACTCCATTTTAGACTCAGTGTTTTTTCCAGTACACAGTTCCAAAACACTGTAATTTCTGTTTGGTTGTTAATACTGAAGCATGAGGGATACAAGAAATAAGTAGAGAAGACATTACCTCTGATGCATGATGAGAAGTAATTCTTGTGTTATATCAAGAAAGAGCCCCCAGGTTCATGAAATATATTGTCAGCCCAATTTTCAAGAGAGGTCATAACACCTCAAAAAAAGGAGTAATTCTCAAGCAAGAACACAGAGATTTGTTAGAAGCAAAGAACCATTTTTATTGAGAATGAGTTTTTTGTCCAACTGTGAGATGTTAAGATCCCTGGGACAGTCCCAGCACAGAATCCAGATTAAGGGAACAAAGACCAATATTTGGGAAATAGATGATACCACACAGCCTAGAGCCTCAAGATCCCATCCTCACAAACATTCACTGGGGGTCAAAGCCTCTGTCAAGCATTCAATTTTCTGGATGTAGAATACTTGGGGTATGGATTCTTGCTTCAGCTCTTGCTTTGGTGGTGTCATTTCAGAAGCAAATGGGGCTTGGAGAGTGATGGTCTAGCAGCAAGAAGAACAACATCTTCTGTAGCAAAATGGCCGGTAGCCACAGCAGCCAGAGCCAGAACCATATCCACAGCCACAGCAGGAGCCTTTTCCACAACCCCATCCTGAGCCATAGCCACAGCCACAGCCCCATCCTGAACCATAGCCACAGCCACAGCCTGAATCATAGCCGTAGCCACAACGGGAGCCATAACCACAGCCACATCCTGAGCCGTAGCCACAGCCACATCCTGAGCCATAGCCACAGCCACAGCCCGAGCCATAGCCACAGCCATAGCCTGAGCCATAGCCATAGCCACAGCCACAACAGGAGCCATAGCCACAGCCATAGCCTGAGCCATAGCCACAGCCATAGCCGCAGCCGCAGCCATAGCCACAGGAGTTCCCGTAGTTACAACACATGATGTCAGGAGAAGAGGATTCAGGTGGGTTGCAAGTGGATGTGTGGTGAAGTATGGCCCCTACTACACTTGGACCCTTATATACTGCCAGTAATTGATAGAACATGCCATTCACCCCTGACTTACCCAACTAGTATGTACGCAACTTTGATGTGACAGTCACTGTCGAGAATCTTAATGTCTGAGGAAAAGTGAGCTCATTAATTGAATCTCCTTTTTTATTTAGGGAGCAGAATTTTAATTTGTTCTGCTAAAAATTGTCTCAGTAAAATCATGTGTTCTACATACCACTGATACCCAACTTCACAAGCTCCTATCATTTAATATACTTTATATAACAAGATTTGGGAGAATTAAGAAAATTATGTCCTTCTTGATTACTCCTATTTCCTAAAATATTTACCTCTACCCCTAAGGGAGGAAATAACTCCCATCTCCTTTCTGGAATCACTGAAACTTTTTGTGAACTTCTCAAACCCAGATACTTACTGCAGAAACCTTCTGGCTTCTTGTGAGAGAAACCAGGGAGATGCTGGTGTCAGAGCACAGGGCAGCCCCCAATAACATCATAACAACTGATATAAAATATCAATAATGCTGAGATTAGAAACCTTGGTGTATAGCTTCACAATGATAAATTACCTTCTCTCTTTACTGTTGTCTAATTCCAAATATTTCCTTTCTTCTCAACTGAACCAAACATCTAACCTTTCCATCACTTCACGTGTGGACTAAATCAAAACAAACAAAAAGATAGGAAGGTGTTATATGTTTGTTTGTTTGTTTGTGATGTTTTTGCTACTCTTGGTTGTCTAGGTTTTACCTAAATCATCAATATCCAAAGCAGGAAAAAAACAAAATTTAAATTGCCTTTTACTGTCATAACTATGACAACTAAGTTGGGAGTACAAACTCAAGAAGATTGTACCTTCCATTCCACACTCAAATTTCAATAACAAAGGAATGAGATTCGTCCACTCATTTTTAGAAGGACTTCAACAGAGATTTTCATAAAGCTACTGAATTCTTTTTGAGAGAACTTTCATTATTACACATTTTCCCTTCAGTTGGGAGTATTTTCAACTACTTTTTCTACCACTAGTTACTGGTCTATCTCCTCTCTCTGCTATATTTCATCCTTAACAAGAAGTTTAAAGAAAATACATCCTATTCTGGTTGTTCTTTACCTATATTTTCTCTACTTTGCTGTCAACTCTTGAAATTCAAAATTATAAATTCTAATGCACAAGTTCCCTCAAGTAGGTATGTTACTTTTCAAACACCCACCTTTGGGTCAAAATATCCCTGAAATGTTGATGAAGTCTTCTATCTTTATTGCATTATTTCTAGTAACTCTACATTGAGGATACTGATCCATGGTGGCAGAAAAATATTATTCTGTGTATCCCTGAATCACTTCTTAGTTCCGAGTACCCAGTACATAATTTGAACTCAGTTATTTATTTCCCCAATCAAAAAAAGATGCATTAAATCAATGTTCAATGTTCAAACATTGGTGTGCCACTTAGAAGCTGTAAAATACTTGGATACATTACCAATGTTCTCATTTCATTCAAGCTGAAAGTCTCAAATATCCTTTGACTAAATGAGTCTCAAATTTCATATCTGGAAGATTTGTGTTAATTTATGAAGACGTTTTTCCAGATGTATAATTTACCTTATATGCCCAATAAATGATCAACCCTTTACTGGATATGTAAATTAGGATGCAGATACCAAATTGATGATATTCTTCTGTCTTTCAAAAACCTTAAAGCACAAGGAACTTAATGAAACATGAGTAGACTTTCAACTGTAGTTATTAGAATTCCCTTCCCTTCTTTGTAGGATTTCTGCACCTCAGGTTTACCCAAGCACAGCTCTCAGATCCAACTAATAAACATTCCATCTGTGAGCTGCTCAACTCTTGAAAAACACTTGTTTCTTCATCAGTAGGGCATAGTGTCCTGGGCATAGCATCAGCTCCCGTGCTGATGTTGATGACAGAACCATCTTCCTTAGAATTGACCGTTTGGTAGAGTCTCCTAGCTCCAAGGACCTCAGATTCAGGCTTTGTCCAGTGAACATTGTCATGGAGATGAGACAGACTCATTTATACTGCATGGTGAAAACTGAATCTGAAAAAGCATTTTCTTTTATAGGATATAAATGTTAGAGTTCTGGAAAGTCCCATGAGGAAAGGACCCTGAAATCAAAACCCAATAAATTAGTACACTCTCAAACTCATAAAGTCAACCAGAAATTTTGATTGCATTCATATGTGTTCCCCAAACAAAGCAAGCCCATTTAAGGAACTAGGCCTTCTCTTTGTCGCTAAAAATTGCAGCACTACTGATCAAACCCAAAATTTAATGCATTTCTCTTCCCCCTTTACACTTAGTACCAACCTTTCTAGTGTTTCCTGTAATAGGCATCAGTTCATTTGATACAAAATGTTAATATAACTTCCTGAATTATCTCTCTAATATTTCAACTTTCATTTTCTTCCCCAGGAAGCTGCTTTATTCCTTCAATAGCAATAAGCTGTCTAAATTTAATTTAATTAATTCTTACTAGTTTTTCTTATCACCTATTAGAATATAAGTGCTCCTAGAGGGGGGAAAAAATGCCTCTGCAACTTTGTTACTGTATCTTCCGTGTATAGGAAAGTTCCCTTTCAAAAATCTTCCAAGAACAGAGGGATGCCTGGGTGGCTCAGTCAGTTAAGCATCTGCCATTGGCTCAGGTCATGATCCCAGAGTCCTGGGATGGAACTCCACATCTGGCTCCCTGCTCTGCAGGGCATCTACATTTCCCACTCCCTCTGCTCTTCAACCCTGCTCATGCTTTCTCTCATTCTCGCTCTCTCAAATAAATAAATAAAATCTTTAATAATGAATAAATAATAAAAATAAATAAACAAAACCATTCAAAGATATGGAGTGCCTGGGTGTCTCAGTTGGTAAAGAATGACTCTTGATTTCAGCTCTGGTCATGATCTCAGGGTCCTGAGAATGGCCCCACATTGGAGCCTGTGCTCAACTCGGAATGTGTATGAGATTCTCCCTCTGGGATGCCTGGGTGGCTCAGCCAGATAAAGTGCCTGCCTTTGGCTCAGGTCATGACCCCAATGTCCTGGGAACAAGTCCCTCATCTGGCTACTCGCTCAGCAGGGAGTCTGTTTCTCCATCTGCCTGCCACTCCCTGTGCTTGTGTATTCCCTCTCTCTAACAAATAGATAAATAATTTTTTTTTTAAAAAACAGAGAGTCTCGCTCTCACTCTCGCTCTTTCTCTAGCATCCCTCTCCCCTGATTATACTTTCTAAATAAACAAACAAGCAAATAAATAAAATCTTAACAAGAAAAAAAAGTCAAAGCTATTGGTATTAACTGACTTAAAACAATTTCCCAAATTCAATCCTTGCAAATAAATATTTTCTGCACTTCTGTCAAAATGCACACGATACGATATGACATTTTTCCTTTAACTTACCCTTCCCTAAGTTGTTCATGCATCACCAGGGTCTGCTTCTAATTTCTCATTACTCCTAAAAAATCTATCTTCCATGACATTCATCCACCCATTCAGCTCTCAGACCACACCTCCTCTCCCTTGGGCTTCTGTCACAACCTCCTGAATAGGTGTCCTCCCTCCTCCTCTTTCTTCATCACCTCAAATCTAAATAGAGAGTGATTTTCAGAACACAGTTCTGTAATAATGTGTGATTTGTGTTGTGTTGTGTTGTGTTGTGTTGTGTTGTGTTGTGTTGTGAGTGCCTGAGCAGGAGAGAATTGAGAAATAAGTGAAGAAGACATCTCTGATGCACGATGAGAGGAAATGTTTGTATTATATCAAAGAAGAGCCTAGGGTCACGAAGCATATTGTCAGCCCAATTTTCAAAAGTGGCCATAACACCTCAAAAGGAAAGAGTAATTCACAAGCAAGAACACAGAGATTTGTTAGAAGCAAAGAACCACTTTTATTGAGAATGAGTTTGTTGTCCAACTGTGGGATGTTAGGATCTCTGGCAGAGTCCCAACACAGAATCCAGATTAAAGGAACAAAGAACAACATCGGGGAAATATTCAGATGATACCACACAGCCTAGAGCCTCAAGATCCCATCGTCACAAGAGATCACTGGGGGTCAAACCCTCTGTCAAGCATGCAATTTTCTGAATGTAGAATTCTTGAGGTATGGATTCTTGCTTCAGCTCTTGCTTTGGTGGTATCATTTTAGAAGCAATTGGGGCTTGAGAGCGATGGTCTAGCAGCAAGAAGAATAACATCTTCTGTAGCAAAATGGCCAGTAGCCACAGCAGCCAGAGCCAGAGCCATATCCACAGCCACAGCAGGAGCCTTTTCCACAGCCACATCCTGAGCCATAGCCACAGCCACAACAGGAGCCATAGCCACAGCCACAACGGGAGCCATAGCCCCAGCCACATCCTGAGCCATAGCCACAGCCACAA